TATTCTCCCATGTAAACCATCACATAATTCACAATAAAACATTTTTTAAAAAAAAGAAAGAGAGAGAAAGACAGCTGAGTATGTCACAAAATGAGGAAGGGAATGGGTGGGCTGAGTTGGAAGCTGAGGTAGAAACTATAGTGATCTCACCTTCCCGCTTTCATGATACACAAACAGGTTCCTGATGTGAGCCTCTCTCCTGTAGGTGATCTGCAGGCCATGGGGATTCCCTATCTTCTCTGTCTGGAAGGTGGCATTCAAGTCTTTGATGCTGATGACAGCTTTGGGGCCTTTACCCTGAAAGAGAGAAAGAACAATCAGCAGAGAAAGATGAGAATACTAACTGATGCTAATAATGAAGTAAAAAGTTGCAAAATTAAAGAAACTGTTTTCTTGATAAAGGAAACATTCTATGATGGCTCTTTTATCAAGTGAAATAAATGCTTTCCTACATTCTTACATAAAAGCCAAAAAAGCAAAAGGGTCCAAACACTCTAGAACATGTTGTCCAATATGGTATCCATTAGCCACATGTGGCTATTTAAGTTTATTAACATTAAATAAAATTTAAAAATATCCCTCAGTCATACTTAGCCACCTTTTCAGTACTCAGTAATTTCCAGTAGTTAGTGGATAGGGTATTAGATGAGGCAGACACGGAGCATTTCCATCACTGAAGAAAGTTCTATTCGATAGTCTTCTCTAGAGAGAAATTTGGTCAGATCTATTAAACTGTTGAAGTATGGTAGCTCTGTAGGATAAGCAATAGACTGAACCACAAGGTGGACTGTTAGAGTCCACCAGCTGCTTCACGTAAGAAAGATGAGGCTTTCTGCTTCTGCAAAGATTTACTGTCTCAGAAACCCTATGGTAGTGGTGGTGATGTGCCAGTGGACTGACTCACAGCGGCCCTGTGCAGGGTTTCTGAGGCTGTAAATCTTTACAGGAACAGAAAGCCTTGTCTTTCTCCCACGGAACAGCTGGCAGTTTCGAACTGCTGACTGTGAGATTAGCAGCCTGATTCATAACTACTAGGCTACCAGAGTTCCTTCGGAAACCCCATACAGGGTTTGCTATCTGTTGGAACCTACTTGGTGTGGCGCTATGGGTAAATGTGCCAGACTGCAAAGCTGTTTGAACTGCAAGGTTGGTAGTTCAAGCTCACCAGCTGCTCTTCGGAAACCCTATACAGGTTCACTAAGGGTTGGAACCAACTCGACATCACTTCACACCAAGACAACTCCAAAGCACTTAGCAACAACAAATTAAAATGCTGAGTGTTTTGGTTAGACACAGCACTTTCATATCTAAGACTTTATCCCAAGAAAGTAATTAGATTACTATGTAAATGTATACAACAAAACATGTTCATTGCAATGTTGCTTGTAACAGCAAAAAAAAGGGAAGCTGAAGCATCCAGCTGATAAGAAGAGAGGGCATATGCACAAGAACATCCACACTTGCAGATAATACCCACTTGACCTGCTTGACCTGGCTTCAATGGCTGGATGATCAGAGCTCAACTAGAAGAAGAGGAAAAAAAGAGTAATCTGAAACAATTTGATGAACTTGACCTACACCTATGGGTGCAGTAGCTCAAAAGAGGGAACAAATTTTTACAGTTAGGATCATTCCCACCCCCTCAATACATACGGTAGACAGGGATGGGCAACTTTGATATTGGCTACCCAAAATGGGGGGCGTGGGGGGTCACAAAGGCAAGAAGTGACTGGCTTACAAGCTTTCAAGAGGGAGCCTAGATCGAGAGGATGTAGAGGAAGGTAGAATTTCCACTGAGTAATATCCAATCTGTCTGGGCAGAACTGATGAAAGGAGATGAGGATAGCACTCATATGGTACAATAGTGAATAATTACTATCAGGACTGACTGTGAGGGTTGGAAATGTAAAAGTAGATGTTTTGTAGCAAAAGGAAGGAAGTGGTTGACATTGCAGGCCAGGAGTGGAGGCTCCTGGGCCCATCAAGGGAGAAGAGCAAAGTGCGGGGACCGTACCCAGAAAAACAGTGACACCACAGATAGAGGCAGAGACGATGCCGTGGAGAGATGGAGTGGCTGGGGACTCTAGAACCAGAGAGGGAGAGGTGCTGTGTGCAGATGAGGGGTGTACCTTTGGTTGGTTGATGATGCATGGAGGGGATTGTGACCATGGCAATGTAATGATATACGGCAGGATGAATATAAAAGCTAATGTTCTCCCATGTAAACGATCACATAATTCACAATAAAACATTTTTAAAAACTAAGGGTGGGAATTCATTTAAATATTCATTAATGAAAATGAATGAAATAATTTATAGTACATTCACACAATGAAATACCACAGAACATTCTTAAAAACTTAGACCAACATTGTTAATATGAAAAAATGCCATGGTATCCATTAGTGAGAAATGCCAGTCTCAGAACAGGATACACTCGCACAGTGGTGGTGGTAATGTGCCGTGAAAGTAGGAACTATTAAATGTGAGCATTTATGCATATATAATATTATATGTAATATGCAAAACACAATATATATTAATACATACTGTGGAGTGTGGTGACTCTGTTCAGTAAGCACTGGACTATGAACCACCAGCCAGCTCCCTGGGAGAAAAAAGAGCCTTTCTGCTCCTGCAAAGATTTACAGCCTCAGAAACCCTATACAGGGTTGATTTGAGTCTGAAAAGACTCGACGTTAACAACAACAATAATATGTTAATATATAATACAGTGTACAATGTGTGCATATTTGTATATACATTAAAAGTAGAGATAGATTTATAGCAATGTCCTTACCATGAAAAAAAATTGAAATACCAATAAAAAAACTAATTTTGTCAATATCCTTCCAGCCCAGCCATCTCTCCAGCTGCATGAAGCTGGGGTGAGTGAGATGATGCCTCAAAGAAGAGGATCCCCCAGCTCCGGCCCGCCGAACTCCTGACTCATAGGGTTGTGAGATCTAAACAGTGCTATTTTAAGCCACTAAATTTTGGGGTGGTTTGTTACACAAAAACAAACAGCTAAAGCACTCAGTGATCGGGCATCTTGCCACATTGATCCCAACCAGTTCCATTGCTAACCAATCATGCTGAGAACTGCAGCTCCTAACTCTCCTCAAATCTCCAGACTCAGGAATCCAACTTCTTTTCAAATGGCTCCACTTGGATGGCTAACAAGCATCTCAAACTAAAAATGACTCTCGATCATCCCTTCAGGGAAGTAACTCTTTGCTGTATCAGCAAATGACAGATCTACCCTCCTTGTGCAAAAGCCAAAATCTGGGAGTCATCCTTGATTCCTCTTACTCTTATGCCCCACATCCAAACCTTCAGTGAATCCTATTGACGCTACTTCCAAAATTTACTCAGAATCTGCTTGATTCTGCTACCTACCTCCTCCATCACTCCCCTGGTCTCATTACTTCTCACTTGGGTTACTGAAACAACTTTCTAACCGGTCTCTCAGCCTCTGCTCTTTCCTCTTCTTCCCCCCAAAAATGTTTAAGTCAAATCTTAACACTTCTCTGCTCACCGCCAGTGACTTCCTGCCTCATTCACTCACATACATTTGCACACTGCGTAAACCCAAAGCTGTTTTTGTTGTTGTTGTTGCAAATGATACATCTTATAAGGAACTTCTTGTTGTTGTTAAGCACCGTTGAATTTGTTCCAACTCATAGCAACCCTGTCTAGAGTTTCCAAGGAGCGGCTGGTGAGCTTGAACCGCCAACCTTGCAGTTCAAAACAACTTTGCAGTCTAGCGCATTAACCCACAGTGCCACACTGGGAAGGTAGACACATGTTAACTTGGGTGGTAGGGAAGGCAATATACAACAAGAGAAAGGTTGGCAGAGGAAGATGAAGGTAGTGGAAGACATGGGGAAGAATGCAAATGAACAGAGATAAATACTGGTACAGGGAGAGGATTGCAAGCATTGTAATGAAATGAAGCATATGATTTGTTGAATGTAAAACTGATCTACTCTGTAAAGCTTCACTCAATTCACAATAAAAAGTAAAAAAAAGACGGAAAGAGAACAATGTCTAGCATAGAGTAAATAGATGTGAACACAATGTCAATCCCCATCTGACCCTTCCCCATTCCTACTAAGTCACATGACCTTGTGACATGGCCAGTCACATACAGCTCAGGATCTGAACCATCCTGTTCTCTTGGACCTGCATTGTTGGCCTGCTGTATTCTTTGAGCTGATTTCTGGATCTTTAAGCAATGCTTCTCAAACTTCCATGTGTACAGGGGCTCACTTGAGGACTCTATAAATTGTACCTTTTGATTCAATAGGTCTAGGCTGGGCCACAAGCTCCCAGGTGATGCCAATGCTCTTGGCCCAAGGCAGCATGCTGAGAAGCCAGGCCTTAGAGTGCATGGCTGGCCTGAGCTTCTACCCATTTCCCTTCCCTATTCAGAATCTTTGGTCCTATCTGGATTTGCCATCCCTGGGCACAGTCCCATCTGCTAGCCGGACTCCTATTGGTAATATCTACCAGGTTCCGCTCCCTAATTTAGCTCTACCTTCCTCTTACCTCTGCCTCTGACTTAGAGGTGGGCCAATAAATCAAGGCAAAGAGCAGCAGAAGCAAATTTCATGAGACATCTGACAGGACCCTACCCAGAGAAGCAGTGATGCCAGAGATGGAGGCAGAGATAATGACATGGAGAGATAGAGCAGCTGGGGACTCTAGACCCAGAGAGGGAGAGGGGCTATGTGCTGAGGACTGGGGGGCAGGCTTACGGGGTGTACACTTTGGTTGATTGATGCTCCATGGAGGGGATTGTAACCATGACAATGAAATGATATACAATAAGATGAATGTAAAGCTAATATTCTCCCATGTAAACCATCACATAATTCACAATAAAACATTTTTTAAAAAAAAGAAAGAGAGAGAAAGACAGCTGAGTATGTCACAAAATGAGGAAGGGAATGGGTGGGCTGAGTTGGAAGCTGAGGTAGAAACTATAGTGATCTCACCTTCCCGCTTTCATGATACACAAACAGGTTCCTGATGTGAGCCTCTCTCCTGTAGGTGATCTGCAGGCCATGGGGATTCCCTATCTTCTCTGTCTGGAAGGTGGCATTCAAGTCTTTGATGCTGATGACAGCTTTGGGGCCTTTACCCTGAAAGAGAGAAAGAACAATCAGCAGAGAAAGATGAGAATACTAACTGATGCTAATAATGAAGTAAAAAGTTGCAAAATTAAAGAAACTGTTTTCTTGATAAAGGAAACATTCTATGATGGCTCTTTTATCAAGTGAAATAAATGCTTTCCTACATTCTTACATAAAAGCCAAAAAAGCAAAAGGGTCCAAACACTCTAGAACATGTTGTCCAATATGGTATCCATTAGCCACATGTGGCTATTTAAGTTTATTAACATTAAATAAAATTTAAAAATATCCCTCAGTCATACTTAGCCACCTTTTCAGTACTCAGTAATTTCCAGTAGTTAGTGGATAGGGTATTAGATGAGGCAGACACGGAGCATTTCCATCACTGAAGAAAGTTCTATTCGATAGTCTTCTCTAGAGAGAAATTTGGTCAGATCTATTAAACTGTTGAAGTATGGTAGCTCTGTAGGATAAGCAATAGACTGAACCACAAGGTGGACTGTTAGAGTCCACCAGCTGCTTCACGTAAGAAAGATGAGGCTTTCTGCTTCTGCAAAGATTTACTGTCTCAGAAACCCTATGGTAGTGGTGGTGATGTGCCAGTGGACTGACTCACAGCGGCCCTGTGCAGGGTTTCTGAGGCTGTAAATCTTTACAGGAACAGAAAGCCTTGTCTTTCTCCCACGGAACAGCTGGCAGTTTCGAACTGCTGACTGTGAGATTAGCAGCCTGATTCATAACTACTAGGCTACCAGAG